GAAATAAATGTCATTCTTCTCTCTCTTCCATTGAGAAGGTGACTTTCCTCACTTTCAAGTTCAGAAGTGGCAGAAGGATCTGAGAGAAATGAGCAGGCACTGGTTCTTTTCAGACAAAGTGAATCCTCAGGAAATAAATCCTACAGAATGAAATCATGATGTTGAGGCTGGCCTGGGTTAATAGGGTTCTGGGGTGCTGAATAAACGTTGTGTGTTTTTTGTTTGTTTTTTAAACTAGTATGCAGAAGAGAAAGCTAGGAAAGCAGGAGTAGTTGGCTGGATTAGAAATAGCAGTCAAGGAACAGTCACTGGCCAAGTTCAGGGCCCAGAAGATAAAGTAAATGAGATGTAAGTACCCCGTTTCCTCAGTGTGTGCCAGCTGACTTCACTAACTTGCCACATGCTTTTAAAATGCTGCTGCATATTAATAAAAAGCAACCTTGCCAGGTTTTGTGGTATAGAAATGCTGAAGGTCTATGCATGGGTTGACTTTGCTCCAGGTTGAAATGAAATTAATATACAACCCCATATCTTTTTTGAGTAAGAAATTAGAGGCCGAATTTGATGCCGCCGAATGGTTCCCACCCCCACCCCATTGAAGGCCACCCTGGCTTCCCTTTAGTGATATGTGAAGTCTGAGCTTGGCCAAGGCTGGGCATTTGCAGTAGGATGCCCAAACTGTTTAAACAGTTTGAAATCTGTACTGTATAATCCTTTTACGGAGAAAAGGCTGTGTGTGGAAGCCATAAAGGGAACACCTCCATCAGGAAATACAGATTCCTTTGGGAGGCTTTCTTCCCTTGCTAGCACCTTCCTAAAATATAAGCGGTAGGGGGTTATGCCATGGGCTTGTCCCTATCATTAGCCAGTGTGGAGCTATTGACTTGTTTGGCAGATGCTGGAAAACAATGAAGAGAACCTCCCAGACTCAAGTCTTCCACCAGTACTAGTTTTGCAGCAAGATTAGATTACCAGTCCATCTAGATTCTGTATATAGAATGCAAAGATCCTTGGGCCTCCAGATGTTCTTCAACGTCAACTCCCAGAAATCCTGGCCAGCAGAGGTGGTGGTGAAGGCTTCTGGGAGTTGTAGTCCAAAAACATCTGGAGGCCCAAGGTTGGGGACCACTGCTGTATATAGAACGCAAAGACACTTTTTTGTTCTTTACTTTAGACTAGAGAGCAAAATCTCTACATCTGTACACAACCATTACATGTTCTGCTAAGATTTTTGTGTGTTACCTCTTAGCTGCTTGAGAATGTGAAGCTTGTTGAGATTTCTTGTGATAAGAGAGCGTTGCTAGAAACATCATATGCAAGGGCACATAAATTCTGGGAATGAAAAGGCTGAATTTGCACTCTAGACACCACTAACCCAGTTGAAACATTTCTGTGTCAGTCAATCTCAGAGCTGAGAAATGTTCCTTTTTGGTGACTCTGTGCCCCCCAAATCCCCCTTGGCTATGTTGGTTGGGAGATTTGTGGGGGTCATTCAAAAATCTAAGATTTCTAAGTTCTGGTTAAGTTATCAGTAGACCAGCTTATATCTGGGGAGCCATATGAGCTGTGTGAAATAGTAGCAGAAATAATGGAGCAGAAAAGTAGAATAAGAGCACACTTCATTTTTTTCCCTATGGAGAGCTATTGCCGCCCAGAGACCTTTGGGTAGTGTGGGCAGCATATAAGTTAAATACTGTAAATAATTAAATAATACTCATCTTTATTGTAGTTGAAGTTAAAAGTAAGGCATACAACATTCTGCAGGATTAATGGTATATTCAAAATTCTGCTTGGATGTGTAGGATTAAGGACATGTCAGTGTTTAGTTCATTTTAAGCAGAACACAACTTCCTGGTAGTAGTAAACATAAGAAGTGGAGAGAAATTTTTTTGTTGGGAACAGATGACTGAAAAAGCTCTTAGAAAAGTTCCTGGCTGAGTTATTTGTAACATCCACGTGCCACCCTTCCTTCAAGGAAGTCACATTGGGATTCCTCTATTTTTCACTCAGCAAATTTGTGAGATAGGTTAGGCTGAAGGATGGATAGCTCAGTGGTTTAGGTCTCTGGGTGCAGATCCAGAGGTTGGGAACTCAGTTCCCCGCTGTGCCTCCTTGACAGGGGATGGACTTGATGATCTACAGGGTCCCTTCCAGCTCTGCAGGTCTAAGATCTAACATAGGCACCCAGTGAGATTCATGGCTCAGATGGGTTTGATCTTTTGTTCCATGTTGACTGTTCCAGTGTATTTGGCTGAAGAACTTTCTATGGAAAGTTGCAGTCTGAATCTGTGAGTATTTCCACCCGTTTGTCTACATATGGATATAATATAAATACCTCTGTTCATATTTATTTATTTATTTATTTATTTATTTATTTAGATTTGATTTGATTTGATTTGATTTATACCCAGCCTATCTGGACCAGTGGACCACTCTAATTAATAGAATTATATGTTAATGCACACTGGTTAAAGTATTACCAAGGGGCTCTTTCCTAACATACTGCTCATTATGCATGTCTGCGCAGATTATGATGCAAACGACAGCATGAAAACTTAGAGAAGCATAGAGAAATATTTTCACAGCTCACATGTTGTCTCTGTGTGCGCACATGCGTGCGTGCATGTCCACATTCTGCTTTGCTTTGCTTTGCTTTGCTTTAAAACCCTTCACAGTCCTTCTGGGTTCTAGGGCATGCTGCATTTCTATGGTCCTGGCTATATAGTTTCCTAGTGGTTATGTTTTCTCTGCAAATGGATGACCAAGATTTTCAGGAGCAAGTAACAAGCAAGAAGTGCTGCTATTGTGGATTTCCTGCATGGGCTGTGGGTTGGACTAGATAGTCTTTCAGTTTCTTTCCAGCTCTATAATCCTAAACCTGAATTAGTTGGTCTATTGCTCTGTTACCCATATCTCCTTATTACCTTGGTCTGAAAAAGAAATTCTTCCAAAATCATTATAGGCTCTTATGGATATTGTGAGATGTATGCATCATGTTGTAACTTGTTCCTTCCAGTGCATACCAGTTTGTATCGTAGTGAAAGTTACTTAATGGGGGAAAGTGTGATTGTTGGCATATTAACTAATAATAAAAAACATTAAGGCTGAGATACAGAAATTCAGACATAGAGACGTGCTGAGATCAAATGAATGACTGCAGAGGGTGGAGACTTGTTAGTCTAATGTTGGGAAGGAAGGAGACAGGGCACTGAGTAATGCTGTGGAAACAATACAATAAATCAAAGGAGTTCCAATTTCTGTTGTGCAAGGATAATTGGAGACAGTTACTTTGGCAGAAAAGCTCTGCCAAGATTGCTAATTGCTTCACGTAATGTGATGTGTATATTTATTTGGCTTTCTCATTTCAGGGGAGAGGGGGTTAGCATGGAATGCACAAATCCAAGCTGAGATTTTTCTATTAGAATCTTTAACGGGTCAAAAGTATGCCATTCTCCTTGAAGGGCTACCACATCCATCTATTTCCAGCCCTTATGGCTACAAAGGTAGATTGAAAAATAAATAAATAAAAAATGGATCTAAGTTGCAGGAGATGAATGGTCCTCTTGAGCCAGAGCTCTTACGAGTTACGTTCTGGTGTCTTTTTTCCTATACTGTTGGAAATTTGTCCCTCATGTGCATTGCAAGCGATCTGAACTGGCAGCAGGGTGGAAACACAGATAGACAGATGAGCTGGATGTCCCCTTCCCCCCCGGGGTCTTCTTTAAATCTGTATGTGAATTGCTACACGTAGGGTGGCTTCCTTCCTTCTTTCTGTTCTTTCCCCTTTGTCAGAGCCAGCAACACACAATGGCTTCACAATGGCTGCTTCAGCAAACATGAATGCATGAGAGCCAGCTTTAGGGTGCCCTGTACCTATGTGAAGTCTTTTTCTTTCAGTACTGGTTGTAAATGGATCACAGGAAAAATAACATATATAAGAACAATAATTAATAGTAACAAGCTAATGCCCTGGAAGACAGAAACAAAATCCAAAATAATCTAGATAGGCTTGAGCACTGTGCTGAAACAACAGAATGAATAGGAATAAATGCAAACTATTGCACCTAAGAAAAAGAAATCAAACATACAGTTACAAGATGGGAGATAAATGGCTCAGAAATACTATGAGCAAGAAGGGTCTTGGAATTGTCATAGATCACAAGGTGATTATGAGCAAGATCTGGCTGAAAAAAGGAAAATGCTATTTTTGGCTGTATTAACAGAAGTATTAATTCTGTTAATAGGAGGACGGAGGAGGGACATGGTGGTGCTGCGGGTTAAACCACAGAAGCCTCTGTGCTGCAAGGTCAGAAGACCTGCAGTCGTAAGATGGAATCCATGTGTTGGAGTGCGCTCCCGTCGCTTGTCCCAGCTCCTGCCAACCTAGCAGTTCGAAAGCATACAAATACATGTAGAGAAATAGGTACCACCTTGGTGGGAAGGTAACGGCATTCTGTGTCTAGTCGCGCTGGCCACGTGACCACGGAAGATTGTCTTTGGACAAACACTGGCTGTACAGCTTGGAAACGGGGATGAGCACTGCACCCTAGACTCGAACATGACTGGACAAATTGTCAAGGGGAACCTTAACCTTAACCTAACAGAAGTATAGTTTCCAAATCCTGTGAAATGCTAGTTCCCCTCTAATTGACACTGGTTAGGCCTCATCTTTAGTGTGTCCAGTTCTGGGCACCACACCAAGAAGGATGCTGACAAATTGGAACACGTTCAGAGGAGGACAACAACAATGATCACAGGCTGGAAACCAAGCCCTATAAGGAAAGGCTGAAAGAACTGGGCATGCATATTTTTGAGAAAAGAAGATTGAGGGAGATATGATAGTACTTTTCAAATACTTGAAAGGCTGTCATACAGAGGATGAGCAGGATTTGTTCTTGATCATCCCAGAGTTCAGGATATGCAACAATGGGCTCAGGTTACAAGAAACCAGATTTTGGTTGAATATCAGGAGAAACGTCCTAACTAATAGAACAGTGTACAACAATGGAACCAGTGGTGAGTGCTCCAACACAGGAGGCATTCAAGAGAAATTTATATAAGCAACTGGCAGAAATCCTTTGTTTAGTATTCTTGCATTGACCGGGGGGTTGGACTCGATGGCCTTATAGGCCCTTTCCAACTTCATGATTCTCTGAGTCTACGTCTCCACCTCTTTTATTTAATTACCAATTTCCAGAGTGGCTGTTTACATTCATTATTCACAAGCCGAGCATTAGGCTGCTGCACTCTGTTCATATAAAGACCAGACAACCCAAACGTGCTCCAACAGCACTTTGCTCTCACTGTGAGCTCTAATGCTCTGGCTCTGGGGAAGCAGTACCGCCTGA